GGCTGGAGCAGCTCCTTGCCCACCGCGGGAGGGAGCTACCCCAGTCCTGTGGGCCCCGTTGCAGACAGGCTGCTCTGGCGGGCTTGGGCGCCCAATGGGCAGGGGCTGCTTTGGCCTGTCCTGGCCGGAGGAGCCCCTGCCTATTGTGGGCTGGGCTAGAGTGTCTCCCAATTCTTCCCACTTTAATCGGTTAACTGATTTTAAAATGGGATTTTACATCTCTAATACAAATGGAAGCTATGTCTAGACTTTCATATTTCATTATAAACTCTTTGCGGTGGGAGCTTCTTATGAATGGGTACTGTGTACACAATGAGGTTTTGATCTTCAGTTGACTTTGAGGTGTTAATATAATACAAACAACAGTCTTGGTCATATTATACCTTCCTGTCACACATATTTGAGGCTTCTTTCCTGTATGTTTTGGAAACATTTGTATGATTTGTCATGCCAACAGAGTATTACTGAATTACAATAGCCCCACACACCATTTTTAGGTGAGGTGACACAGAAAGAGAATGTGTTGAGAACAGTTACACTTGAATGTAAATGTGAAGTATTTTTAGAGATATGTGCAGGAATTTTGGTAACCTAGAGGGAGAATTGATTAGTATATGCTAATTTATGCAGAAAGTGGGGGAAAAAAGATGTCAGTTATTCTGGGAGTGTTTACAAAGTTATCTTTAATCAAAGCTTGCAAACAAGCTTTGATACTTAATATACCTAATGGATCCCATAAATCCTATGTAATGTTAAATTATCAGATGAGAACAAGTGTTCCCTGCAAACTGTGCGCTTGTGCTTCTGTTTAGAAGTGCCAAATGTTAGATTTTGTTTCTTCTAGTGGTGCATGTTCTCATATGCCTCAGTGTACATAAACATTTATTCTGCACATTGATACAAAAATCCACACGTGGATGTAAAAGATTAGAGGGAGCATTGATTATGTTGTTGACTGTTTGGTTTAACACAGTGCTATACTCGGTTTGGTGGGGATTTTTTGGTCTTTGCTACTTCCTGACTGTGTAATTCCAGTTCTAAATGAGGTATGGTTTTGACCCGAGAGTTTGTAACTCTGGTGTTAGTAATTCTGAGGTTCTACTGTACAAGGATTATACCACACATATTCAGAAAGAGGAGCCTGTAAGGTTTCTAGCATTGAAAGTTGCACTGCTGTTTGTTAGCTGAAGAGAATAAACTGTAATCTTTTGACCTTAACCTACCCACCTAGTGTTAGTTCAAGTCCTATCTTCAATAGAAATTTGGGAAATATAAGGCACTATTTCTGTGGTGTGTAGAAGATTAAGAGGATGTGGGAGGGATATGGAAATTGTGAGAGAGGAATATCACATTCCCACAAAGCTTATTTGGTAACTGTTAGAAGCAAACTAATTATGAAGATAATTTAAAAGTGTCTACAATGCAGGGGTGAGCAAAATACGGCCTGTGAGCCAGATCCTGTCTGTTAAACATTTGCCTCTGGTCCCCCTTGACCCTCTGGCCTGCTAAAAGTCCTGCAGCTCAGTAGGGTGCTCAAGCTGACAGGCCGGTTGCCTGCTGTGGTCCCAGAAGTGCTGCTCCCAGAAGTGGCTGGCTGTTGCTAGCAAGCATGCCTCTGTGCTCCTTGGGGAGAGAGGCACAGCGGGTTTCTACGTGCTGCCTCTGCCCCCAGCACTATCCTCATAGTTCCTGTTGGTCGTAAACAGGCCAATAGCAGCTGCAGGAGGTGGTGCTTACGGGCTTCATGCAGACCTGCAGTCCCCTTCCCCAGGAGAGGTGTGCAGATACAGGTATGCCAACAGCATCCAAACACTTGTAGCAGCCAGCATGGTGTGCAGTTAGCCTGCCTTCCTGAGTGTCCCGTTGTGCCAGCTGGCACAGGGGTAAGGGCCAAAGCCTGCCGCTGACACCCCTTCTGCACTCCAAATCTTTCTGCAGGACAGAATTCTGTCCAACACGCAAATTCCCTCCCAGATTCCATTCCCTCTTTTGCACCCCAGTCTTCTGCCCAGAGATGTGTCCTGCACCCAGAACTCCATCCCAAACCCCACACCTCCACCATTAATATAATAGAAAAGAGTGGTTGGTGGCCATTTACCAAAATTCTTGGAGTGGCCTACTTCTGCTATAATGCCTGAAATTGATAAGTTGTAAAAGCAAGTGTTGATGGACATGATGAATATCAAACCATGATTTTTGGATTGGAAAAATTGAATGAGAGGGTATATTAATCATTTAAGTCCTAAGTCTGAGCTCATATAAGTCCTAAGATTACTGTTAAATAGTCTTAGTCCTATTTATTGTATAAATCATTTCTAATTTCTGGGCTTTCTATAACTGAAAACTAGACTTGCCCCAGTTCATATCCGAATCAGACTACTATTTTGTTACTTATCGTTTATTTATAAAATTCTGTGTTGCATCTCTGGCAAGCAATGTACTATATAGATAATATTTTATCAGGGTGCATTGATTTAGTTCAAGGCAATTTAAATAATTGATTTAAATCACGACTGAAGTCAGCAAGAAAAAAGTTATTTAAATCAAGTTTCCCACTGATATTACTTCACGTATTTCTTAAACAAGGGTGCAGGTCTCCTCACTAAAACATGTTAATTTATAGCTGAGTACATAATTTTACATTGTCTAAGAGGGTATACTTGTGTAATTTTTTTTAGATATCTTGATTTTTATTAATTTAAAGAATAGTTAATAATCCTCATTAGCTGTGTTAAGCTACAGATCTAGCAGCAGTACATTAGGAATGGTAAGAACTAAATCATGCACTCAAATACAGTAGGGCCTATATGTTAACAAAACTAACCTTAAATATAAAATAGATGTTTCATATTTGCAATTGCAGCAGTCTCCTGAGTTGCCAGTTGATGGTTGACCTTAAGCTTTTTTGAAAATTTTCAGGTTTTATTAACGCTAACAGCCAAGTCCTCAAAACACTAAATATACAGTATTCTTAAAACTTCTACAACTAGCTCTCATCTTCCCCTTTCCCACTGTCACTTTGATGCAGGTATGATTCCAAGTTACCAAAGGAGCTAAGATTGATTGTACTTAGAGTGCACTTAATTTTGGAGTATGCTTGCCCCATTGAAAACAAGTGTAGGATGGGGTTCCTTTGGGAAAACTGAGGTATGCAGGGCCAGGAGACTTCTCCTGCTCCCTTGCTCACAGACCCTGATTGACCGTTCATGAAGTATTTGCTCCTGCCCCTGGCACCTAGAGAGAATCACCAGCTGTTTTAAAATAGCTTGTAGTTCCCTCCTAGGTGCTGCAGTGGGAGGAGACTTTGTGGCTCCTCCTCCCCCAGCCCTAAGTCCCTCACCCTCTGTCCCTACCCTGCCAGTGGAGTGCAGTGGCTAGAGAGAACCACTGACTATTGCAAACATCTGGCAATTCTCTCTGATGCTACACCCTTTTGGCACAGGGAGGAGACTTCATGTGCTTTCCCCACTCCCAGGCCAATCAGCGCCTGAGGGTGGGAGGAGCGCATAAAGTGTCTCATGCCCTGCCCCTTCTGGTGCCATGTGTCTCTGGCAGGGGAGGAAACTTCATGTGCTCCCCAGTCCCCAGATCTTGATTGGCCTGGGGACAAGAGAGGTGACTGTGGACTGGATCCACTGGCTTGGCAGGCCAGATCCGGCCCTCAGAGGCTGTCCTGCCTGCCCTGGTGTAAGGGAATATAGGAAGCTGTGTATGTGCTGAATAATATCTTCCCTTTTTCTTTTCAGTCAGCTCCACTCCACTGTTCCTGTCTATTCTGCCTCCATCCTTTCTTATATAGTGTGTCTCTGTCTTTAGACAATATCTTAACTCTGCCATGCTTGACCCAGGTCCGCCATCTATAAGTCCATAACACAAATAATCCTATCCAGCCTGTGTCTGCATTTGTGCATGTTAATCTGCTAAGAAACAGCCCAGAATTTTCAAGAAGCAAGATCTTCTAGTTAATCTGGACAGACTAGAGCCATTAATTCATTTTTATGAGACTGTAAATGTAGGGTAGCAGGTTTAAAAGTAATAAAAGAAAGTTCTTCACACAGCGTGTAGTCAACCTGTGGAACTCCTTGCCAGAGGAGGCTGTGAAGGCTAGGACTATAATAGAGTTGAAAGAGAAGCTAGATAATTTCATGGAGGTTAGATCCATAAAAGGCCAGGGGATAAAATGGTGTCCTTGGCCTCTGTTTGTCAGAGGTTGGAGAGAGATGGCAGGAGACAAATCGCATGATCATTGTCTTTGGTCCACCCTCTCTGGGGCACCTGGTGCTGGCAACTGTCGGCAGACAGGATACTGGGCTAGAAGGACCTTTGGTCTGACCCAGTATGGCCGTTCTTATGTTCTTAGGTGTAGCATATTTTTTTATAAAATTTAATTGTAATTCTGATTTTTATATGAGAAATTTAGTATTTTATTGATTTAAAAATTAAACAATTTAAATCTAAAAATCGGATTTAAATGTCTGATTTTTAATTTATAAAAACAATTATTGATTTTTAATCCATCTGTATTTTATCATAGAAAAAGGAATTTTTTTCTAAATATTGGAAATACAGGCTGAACCTCTGTAGTCCTGCACCCTTTGGTACATTAACATCTGTGATCATACATGATTTTTAGTTTTCTGGATGTCCACTTATGGATGAGGCCAAGTTTTCTGTGGTCCCATGAAATTTGTTTATGGCCACCCCTCCTGGCTCTGTGTTCTGTGCTGTTATTTAGCTCTAATTTACCCCTAAATGTCTTCTAAGAGGCTAGTAAGCAGTGGAACTGCTGCTAGACAAATTGACCTCCCATGATCCAGCAAATTCTCTGCATCGGCACTGGTCAGGCCCCGAGGGTGCTCAACTGGAGAGGTTCCGCCTGTACTGCAAATAGGTTTTTTTTTATTTTATGTCCTTAAAATAAGTACACTAGATAATATGTTAGTCGACTTAGTATAAAATGTTTATAAATGTGTCTTATAATTTTCACTTTCTTTTTTTAGCCTCCACCAGGAAATGTGAAAATGCCTAATGCACCCAGTACACAACCAGCTATAATGAAACCAACAGAAGAACCTCCTGCTTACACACAAATAGCAAAGGTTTGTGTATAACATTTTGGAAATGTACTAATTGTGAAAAGTTATAACTGCATATTGAAAAATGTATTAGGCCAACATTAATTTTATAAAGTAGCATTACTTTCTGTAATCAGTGCTCTGCTTTACAGAAATAAGTGCTGAAATTAAGTACAAGTTGTTGGATTAATTAATTAAAATCGCAGGTCTATCTTGATCAGGAGTGGGCGAAAGGGCCTCTGCGGGCTGCATCCAGCCTGACAACAGGGTTTATCCGGCCTGCGGACACCCTGCCACTCCCCCACCCCTCAGGCCAATTGGTCTAGGGACAGGGGAGCATGCCAAGCCTCCTCCCCCACCAGCAGCACGCGACACTTAGTCAACCTCCAGGGTTGACTCTAAGCTCTACACACCCTTTGCAGGACGCGGGCAGACTGGGAGGAGACTTTGCATGCTTCCCTGACCCCCCGGCCCTGATTGACCTAGGGTGGGGGGGAGTACACGAAGTCTCCTCACACCCTGCAAGAGGCACATGGTGCTTAGAGACAACCGCTAGCTGCTGTTCACTGAGTGCCCTTGCAGGGCGGGGCAGGGAGTGAGAGACTCCCCGTGCTTCCCCCACTCCCAGGTGCTGATTGACCAGGAGGCAGGGGGTGTGCAAAGTCATCTCCTGACACCAGGGGTGCTGACATCTAGAGGGAACAGCCAGTTGATCTGAACAACTGATGGTTCTCTGGGGGTAGGGAAGCACTGATGTGTCCTGGTCCCGCCCCTTCCACCTGTGGTGCCCCGCCCCTTCTCGGTCTAAAATTATTCCCCACGCTGATCTTGATTCATGACAGAGAATGCAACATAATTGTAGAACTTAAGCAAAAGAACAAATATTCTAGTTTTCTGCTATTTTTTCCCCTCAGGACCATGCATTGGCCCAGGCTGAACTGCTTAAGCGCCAAGAAGAACTAGAAAGAAAAGCAGCAGAACTGGATCGCAGAGAAAGGGAAATGCAGAATCTCAATCGACAGAGTGGTATGCATCAAAATCTTAATTCTTTTTATTAGAATTTCAGAGTTTTAAATCTCCAAGTTTCTCTGAGAAACTACTTCTGTTTTCTGTTTGTCAGCAAAGATCAGAAGTATCTATTTTAGGATCTCATTCAGGAAAAGAAATCTATGCCTTTCAGAAGACTGCTTAAAAATATCATCTGCAGTTTTTGAGGTTGTCTGTGAACTTCTGTATTACAAATGTGAAACTTAATCTTTTGTTGGATCATTTCCTTACTGTATTAACTATTTTTTATTCTGGGCTTAATTTAAAGTAACTTGAAACAGCTGAATTTTAAAAAGTGTATTTAAAAATAGTTCAGTGTACTGCTACTTCCAGCTTCTTTTTCTGACAATATTTATCATTGTACAATAATTTTCCTATCTTTGATATTTTTCCTAACCTATTTTCCTAACCTATTTTTAGAGATCCATACAAGCAAATGAAATGTTCTGATTATCATCAATTACTATTTAATATGATAGTCCCGGAGTCCTTGATAAAGATCTCGTGCTTGTGACCATACAAATGCAGAAGTAGTTGTGTTCCATTCTAAGAAGCAAGCATCTCTTCTACTCCCCTCCCCCCAGCAGACTGCCCCTGCCCCCTTGCCCTCTTTCTCCCTGATGCCCGTCCCCTCACCACCCTTTGCCCCAGTTCCGCTTATGCCCCTCTGTGCCCTCACACATGACTTGCTCCATCGCCACCTTCCTCATGCCCACCCCTCCTTTCTACCCTTTTCACAGCACCTCCCACTCACCTTGCTTCCTCTTGCCACCAATGCCCTTCCTCTCTCTTCTCCCAGTATCACTGTCCCTTCCACCTTCAGATAACCAGAATATTTAGGTTACTGGCATGCCCAGGGATGCAAAGTGGAAAAAAGTGAAAATAACTTTTTGCTCTGATTATTTTTCTAAATTATTATTTATAACTAGAAGATTTACTCTGCATTGCTAGGGTCCTTAACTCAATTCATTTTTGGGTTTTGGAAAATAAAATGAAAATGTACATGCTTCATTTAAATCATTGTTCTGGGCTGGGACTGAGGATGAAGGGTTCAGTATGCAGGCATCACTGGGGAGAGAAGGCTAGTCCATCCTCCTCTCATCGCAGCAGTTTGGGTCCAGGTGAGAGATGCCTCTCTATGGCTGCTGCAGCTCCAGTTGGGGCAGTTCCAGGTTGAGATGGTTGCTGGGTCTGTCTCCCCCTGGCGTTCCTCAGCCAGAATGAGGAATGCAGCAAACTGCAAGGTAGGAAGACAAACTAATTCACTCAAATATATAGTACATTATTTTGTGTTAATTGTAAGAATAATGGGTTAAAAAAGTTCAGACAATAGCTTGATTTTGGGAGGTAGGGAGATAAGGTGGCCGAATCCTCCTACATACCTCATTGCCAAATTTCACTATCAGTTCACTTGTTTTTAGTTTTTGTTTTTTAGTAAGTATGATCCGCATCATGATTAGTGTTTCTTCTGCAGATTTTTAATTGCAGAAGAGCATGCCATCAAAAATGGTAAGGTGCAAACTAGAGCTGTCCATTTAATTGCAGTTAACACATGCAATTTCATTCTTTAAATCAGAATTAGAATTAATCGTGATTAATCGTTGTTTTAATTGCACTGTTAAACAATAGAATACCAGCTGAAACTTTTGCATAAGATAATGCTGCCCACTTATTTAAAATGTCACTTGAAAGTGAAAACAAGCATTTACATGAGACTTTTTTTAGCCAGCATTGCAAGGTATTTACATGCTGGATTATGCTAAACAAGTGTATGCCCCTTCATGCTTTGACTACTGTTCCAGAAGACATGCTTCCATGCTGATGATGCTCATTTAAAAAAAATGATGCATTAATTAAATTCATGACTGAATTTCCTGTGGCAAGAACTGTATGCTGGAGTGCAGCTTTAGGGAAAGGGATGGTGTTGGGGTGGGGTCTGGAGTGGGAAATCCTTCCACCCCAGCATATCAAAATATCAGCTCCTCTGATTAGGGTAACATGCTATTGACCTCTGAGCACCAGAACAGCTATAGCATGAACTCTAATGGAAATAGTTCGGGAGTTTTCACAGTACATTTTTGTTGATGGCTTCAGTATGTAGCTGCCAACTCTTGCTGGTGGCTACTCTGACAAGTTTTCCTAAAATGCTTAATTAACATTAGGAAAAATGTGTCCGTGTCCAAATCATTATAACCTGTGTAGAATTTTATTGCAAGATTCAATAATAAAAATATACAGTTCTTCAGGTGATTGCTCATGGGCATTCCAATAGGTGTGGCACATGATCATTAGAAGGGTTTTTACCCTAGTGGTACCTGTTGGATTGGCTCTGGAGCGCCCAAGAATGGTGCCTCAGTAGCATTATGCCCTGTAAGCTGTGCACTTGTGCGGCTGCTCAGGAGAAAATCGAATGCTACCCAGCTTATTAGTGGTGCACCCAGAGCTAGGTTTTGTTTCCATTAGTGGTGCACATGTTCACGTCTCAGTACATATAGAATTTTATTCTGCACATGGATGGAAAAAAATCCGCACGTGGATGAAAAATATTAGAGGGAACATTGCTCAGTGGCAATGTATATAGGCCATTGCCAACTCACCACCTATTCAGTTCCTTTTGGATTCAAACACAAGGTGTCTTGCATGTTCTTGTCTTTTTTGTTTTTCTTTTGCTTTTTTGTTAAAAAAGTGGATGTCTATACAACAATACTACCCTGATTTTGCTGCTGTTGTGCTAGAAGTGTTGTGGGGCAGGAGCCCCCTCACCATGCCGGGGAGCTGCCAAGCCCGGCCACAGCCCAGAGCCTTTAAGCTGCTGCTACAGCTATAGCCACCATAAACATCGAGTGCAGCCCAAAGAGGGGGAATCCCAACACCTTTCTCTGTCCTTGCTTTCCACTGCCATTCAGCAAGAATCTGCCTAGGAGAAGGAGGATTGACACTCCCGGGACACCTGCAGAGTCCCACGCTCCCTATGCCCTGGTATGGTGGGTGGAGGGCAACTGCTCAGTGAGTCATCCCAGTGACTGAATACCAGTCGCCTCCAGTGATTAAAAACACTTTCCAACACTGTGCATATTGGCCTCACATGCCTCAAGAGGTGCTGCTTGCAGCCTCTGGGAAGGCTGTGCAGTTCAAAGTACTGATCCCTGCTGGAAGTGCCAGCACAAACACAGTGCATCTTTGGCCTTTGGTAACAGCTGTTCAGGAGCAACATCTGGAAGCTACCAGAAGAGCCCACTGCCTTTCCTCCATACCTCTCCACCTATGCTTTGGAGGCTTTCAAGGCCACAAAGAAATGAGCTGGTGGATGCATGCAAGAATCACTGTTCTAGTCAATGACTAGACCATCTTGCAAGAAATTTAGGATGACTTGTGCCATGTGTTTGATCAGCAGTAGCCTCACTTTGTCATACAAGTGACTGGTAGGACTTTGTGTATTGCTTTCTTGACTGTGCCACAATAGAGATGACTTTATTTGATAAGCCCATTGTCTTCAGGCTTGCACACTTAAAAGCAGGTAGATTGGTTTTAATCATTATTTAAATCAGCTAATATGAATCTTTGCTCAGTGGCATTGATTTTAATCTTGTTCTGCATGTTATAGTTATTTTCCTAAAGAGAGATTGATACTGTTCGATATGACCATTAACATATGTTAATTTGCAACTAACTGTAGCCTCTAAATAAGTGGTGTCCAATTAATTCTGAAGCAGTAGACATTATAGTGGCTACTAGGGATGTTAAATTTTGATTGATCAGCTAATTGAGTAGTTGATGGAATTTCGCACTGCATCTCTCCCACAGAAATGTGCAGGCGCTGCCCGTGGCTCTTGTATATTTCAAAGGGAGAGAGAGGCAGTGGGGAGCCATGCAGTCCCTGCTAGCACAGGTTTCCCCTCTGTGCCTCTTCCTTTGAAATGTACAGGAGCCGCCTGTATATTTGAAAGGGAGAGGAGCAGCAGCAGGAGTGGGACTGTTTCAGTTCCAGCTCATGCCATGTCTCTGCTGCCCCCTGCCTCTCATGCTCCCCGTGGAGACGGTGCTGGGGGGGAAAGATCTTTAAGCTGGCTCCCCCCAGCACAGGCTCGTGCTCCCCCTCCTTGCTTCCTCTCTCTGATAGAGGCAGCAAGGGGCTGGATGGGGGGTGGAGGGGGAGAATAAGTAACTAGTTGAGTTCCTACTTGACTACCCGATAAGCATTTGCTTATTGGGTAATCCACCAGTCACTTACATCCCTAGTGGCTAAAGCTATAGCTAACTAGCCACACTCAACTGGCCAAATGTTCATATGTGGGTAATGGCTATCATGTGGGACACCACAGCTCTAAACTAAGCTTATGGCATATCTTCCTGCTTAGGAAAAGTACCACTATTTATTTTAAACACATTTATTTAAGCAGTTACGTTAAGCTTAACATACACTTATTAATTCTCAATTTTTATATTTTTATTGTGGTAGAAAATGGTGACTGTTCCATTTCATGTTTACTACTTGACTAATGTTTTACTTGTGATGTTCTTCTCAAGCGGCATTTGGATAGAAATTTGAATTGAATTAAAAATCCACAAAAACACTGTTTTAAAATTGATACTAACGGTTAAATAATACTACCTGAAATATTTTGGATTCATAAGTAAGAAGAATTGAATTGCGATGTCATTTAAGATGTTAAAACAAGTAGCTCTTATCTTCTCGAGCCTCATTTTTATTCGTAGATTGAAAAGGGAAAAACACGTTTTCCTACTTTTTAAACTTCCAGTTTGAATAAATTAGTCATTTGATAGAACTAGTTGAGTTTTCTGAAAAGAAGAAAGTATTTTCTTTTCACCTATAGAAGGGGCTCCACTGTCAAAAGCTGGTTTAACTCATCATAAGTTAGATTTAGGTGCTTAGCTCATAGGTGATTTCTTCCAGTTCAGTGGTTTTGCTGTCTCTAAAACTTTGACAAAAACATGTATTGCTTGTATATTTATTTATGTTTTAATAGCCTATCCAACTTGTTGTCACTATCATAATTTCTAATAATAGTTAAATTTGAAAGGGAAACATATGCAATTGAAATAAAAATGTTTTAAATTTTTTAAAGTATTTTAAAATAAAAACAAATTGATTTTCATCCACCATGGTTTACTCAGCAAAATTAAGACCACAAATTATGCTAGGTGCACATGAAGTACTAAGCCTTTTGTTTACAGACCTAGAATTAGTGGGAATCTGAAAGACAGTATATCAAATCCAGCCATCTGAGTCAATCTGATACTATGAGCGTGGAGGACGCTCTTAGTTTGCCAGCTTTCTATAGGACCCTGCTGGGTATGGACCGCAGGAAGGGGGATGTACACTTAAGTTGTATGTTCAGGGAGTTGTAAAGGCTTCTGTTCTTGCTCCTGCTACTTTTACCTGAAGTAGTTGGGAAACGTCTCTGTTTTCTTGTTTTGAACAGACCAGTAATGACACTGCTCTTTCTCTGGTCCAGCTGCAATCTTTTATCACTTAGCTCTGTTAACAATCCTCTCTACGAAGATGACAATTAAGTCAATTTATCAATATGTCTGCAGCAATCCTATGTGTAAGACAACTTGAACAAAATTCAGATGTAATAGATACATATCTAATATGCAGAGAAAAGAAAATAATAACATTGTATTTTAAACTGTGGGGTTTTTTGACTTGCAGGCAGGAAAAATAATTGGCCTCCTCTGCCTGGGAATTTTCCAGTGGGTCCTTGTTTCTACCAGGATTTTTCTGTAGACATTCCAGTAGAATTCCAGAAGACAGTAAAGATTATGTACTACTTGTGGATGTGTAAGTAAAAGCTGCTGAATCCTAATAGTCTGTATATTTTATTTTGATCTAGTCAACATTTACTTTTCAAGGTTTTTTTTAATACAGATGTAAAGTTAGATGTTGAAATGAAATACTTTGTGGTTTAGACACTTTCAATAAATATAGATATATTTTCTTAAAAATTTTGTAATATTTTAAAACATGATTCTTCATTTAAAAACAATCTTTCCATGAAAATAGATATATGGTGAAAATTGCTATAGAAAACTAACACAGGAATCTTTCTCAACTTTTATTTCAGTTTTTCAATGATGAGATATTATTTATGGAAATATTACCCTAGAAATAACTTGTGTGTAGAGCTGTTTTAGTATGTCGTATTTTCCCCTTTTAAACATGCCTGTCCTCTTCAAACTAATCTAAGTGTTGATTGCCTTAACAATGTTCTTTTTGCTGTTTTTATATGTAAGTGTAAGTTTAAAAAAGGTTTCCCTAAAATTTCAAATTAAATATAGTAACACCTAGCTCTTTGTTGTGTTTTTTATCAATAGATTCCGGTAGATAAAAAGTAGTGTTGTTATCCCCATTTTGCGTATAGGGAAACTGAGTTGCAGGGAGATCTGGTGGCTTGCCCAAGGTCAACCAGTAGGCCAGTGGCAGAGCAGGAATAGATCTCAGGTCTCCTAAGACCTAGTTTAATGGTCTAGCCACTCAGCCTCATTTAGAATTTATAGCCTTGTGATTGTTCACATTATACGTGTGCAATAATTTGCCTACAATTAAATGCTGCCTACAATTAAATATTAATTTAGTTGCATTAAAAAGATAAATAGTACACAGTAAACTATCCTGTCTATACCAGAGGTTTTCAAAGCCAAGTCTCTGCAGACTGTTTAGTCTGCGCTCTTTCAAAATACACTGCCGTGTCTTGAGCATAGCAGCTTGCCAATAACCAGTGGGAAAATGTAATACAAGATTAGCATACTTTGTGCTGTGATCAATGTCATCTTTTCTAGTTGCTGGTGGCAACTTGGATACGGTATGTTGACTTGGATACAGTATGCTGATCTCATAGCAGGACCAAGCACGGTCTAGACAGACACCTGTCAGGGATGATCATTCTAGACCGAGCTTGGTGCTGCCGTGATGCCAGGGTACTGGACTCGATGACCTCTTGAGGTCCCTTCCGATTCTATGATTCTACAATTCTAGTATTAATGTACTGGCATTCTCCTTGTTAGAGACAGATGGGGGCTTTCAGGCTTTTCTCACTTTTTCAATAAGGTTCCAGGTTGAACAAATCTGAACAGTTTTTACTTATGTACTTGGTAATCTTTTTTTTTCTTCCTTTTTTAAATTGAACTTCATGTATGAATTATGAGTAGTCAGCTTTCAGTACTTAACCATGAAAATGACTCCAATTTGTTGTTCACAGTTTATTATATTCATTAGTGGATCACAGTTCTTTTAAAAAACTTGTAAAATACAAAACTAGTCACTCCAATAAATATAATTCAGGGTTAATATCCATTCTGAAAGCTTGGAATTCAGCATTTTGAATGGCATCAACATTAGTTTCTAATTCCAGCAATTGATTGAATTCATTTCCAAAAATGTCAAACTTCAAGCCTAGGAAGGTTGGGGAAAACAAAACTGGAATTATAATAATGCTGTATTTCTCTCTCTCTCTCTCTCTCTCTCTCTCTTTCTCCTTCCAATTTACAACAGTGGATTAAGGAACAGAGAGCATTATAATGTCAACAACTGGAAGCAAGGAGACAGAGTTTTGAAGGTCTGCCCCAATTATGTTAATTTCAGCCATACCTTTTCTCTTCTCACCTTAGAAGAGGGAAACTCTAGAGTGACTCTCTTGTGTTTTTCTTGAGTTTGGCCTCTCATTTCTTTCTTGATCTTGCTGGCATACAGTGGAAGAATGGAGATGAGAAAAAGGAAGGAGAGAAAAGAGTAAGGCCAAAAGCTGGGAACTTGAGTAATCTGCTTAAGGACAGGGAAAATATGTAGAAACCTGAGGTCTCAGTGCTACCCATCTCATGTGGTGGCTCTCAAGGGTGGCTGTGACTGTGTGATATGTACTGCTTAGGAGGATGCCTAGGTGGTCTGGTCTCCATGAGTGACTGTGCTTCCCCTCTGGTGGTACCTGAGGGTACTTGGGCTGCCTTTCTGGTATTTGTCATCCTGCTTCAGCTTGCAATGCTGTTCCACAACTTACCCAGCTATTCAGAAACTAATCTGCCTTGACAGGGTCCCTGGACATGATGGCAGTCACCCACAATTCTGATAAATTCACCTCCTTGGCAGCTGCCTAGCCTCCTCTTAGACCAGAATAGTCTTTCAGTTTCTGTTTTCAGGTGTCTGTTTCTGTTTGATAAATTTTAGAGATACCCCTTTCCACATCATTGTCTGCATATTACCCTGGGTAACAGCTTCTTTCAGTTTAACACCTTGATCTTTGCTCTTTCCTCAGTGACAAGCTGTTTTTCAAAAATCTTAATTGACTTGGCTGCCAACCTCTCTATTTGTTTCTCAATAGCATCTTCATTCAGGGACCCTGCTAGTATCCGGGACAGGGTCCTCGGGTATCTGTCTTAACTGGTTTCCCGAATTAAACTGGGCCTATTCCTACATTATTCTTTTCAAGAAACTTTCATACATGGGTGTGATCCTGAATACCTATGTGCAGATGCTTTCTTAGCTTCAGTCCCTGTCTGTTGGTACCTGTTCCATGTAAAGAGCAGTCTAAAGATGCTAGGACTCTTAACACCCTGTGTGGATTTAATGCTATGGGCATGAATGTATCACTGGCCTTTGCAATCCTCCTTGTCTATTTAATGGACTCTTTTAATGTTCATCTGATAGGTCGTGCCTTGCTATACTAGAGGGCTTTTCTTTTCCTCAATTTCTATGTCCTTAAGTTGCAACAATTGAAATGTGGTGGCTTCTGTCAACCACTAGCGGAATTTTCTCTGTGCTCCTCCATTCCTGAGAATTTGGGCAGAAGCCTATCAGGTGGGTCACAATAACATCCTGAAAAGATTGGCACAGTCACAAACTGGGTTTGGGGAAAGGGAGACTAGATCTTAGTTTTCAAAGATTTTTACCAGATTCTGAGGCACGCTCCTTTGCATGGATTATCTTGATTGTGTTTGCCAAACTTCCATGTTTGTTTCTTGGAAGTTCTATTTCTGTAACATCCCTAATGTAAAACACGATAAAAGGAGGGCAGAGTTTAATCAGCTAACTGATGAGCTGATACTTAAATTCCACTAGGCTCCTGAGAGAGGGGTTGGCAGCCGAGACTTCACATGGGTGGGACCTGCTGGCAGCAGGCCTGTGGAGCAGAGTCAGTTGGGACCCAGGGAGAGGGGTCTGCTGGTAGAGCCTACAGTGCGGTATCAGCTGCTGGGTGCGGGGGGGCAATCTTCCAGCCCCCTTTCTTTCCCCACATTATTGAGGAAAATATTTAACTGTGTACTGATAGAATTTTGATCACTTGCACAGTTACTATTTTTATACATCTTTTACATCCCTATTTTGTATAAGGTTGGAGTGGGAAAATTAGGATGCTGCTTCCCTTTTTTATCTAGGAGTTTGAGGAATGGCAGATAGAACAAACTTTACTTTTGCTGGCTCAGTGGTGGCCCTTCTATTGCTGGTTTGCAGGTCTTATCAACTTACTAGTAAGCCCTTCTCTCTGTTTTTCTCCTACTCCTCCAATATCTGTGGTCATTTCAGAGGGTCAGCAAATAGTCTCAAAGATTTGTGCTTTTCAACTACCTTCTTCTGTGGCTGGCTGCATGTGAATTGAACAGCACCATATCTTCAAGGATGGTTTATTTGCTGAGGTTACATGTATCTGGCAAGCATTGTATATTATGCATGATTTTCATCATCTGATGTCACATAAGGAGTGGTGTTGCCCTCTTTTGCTTAGCTCCAGGATGTTTCCGACTTCTTCCTAACAGGATTCAAGAAGAGCTTCATAGACCAGCACTTCATCTTGTAGTTTCAGATTCAGAACACACATTCAGGTTTACTTGCTTTATTAAGAGGGCTTTCCTTCTTGTAGTGACCTCAACCAGGAAAGTGGGTGAGCATAAACATTTGTTATGTCGGCCAGAGCTGCAAATGTTTGTGCAAAGGCGGTTTTTCAGTGTTTCCAGGATTAATTTACAAAGTGAATACTGAATTCTACCTGAAGTACAATCCATTATTCTCTCAGAATAAATCCATTCTGTCCCATGACAAGAGGCTTCATTTGTTGGATATTGCGTTCCTCAGTCTTATTCTGAAGAGTTTCAAAGAGCAGAACTGGGGATAAAAGTTACAGCTATGTGATTCCGAGGCTGTGTTTTTACATGGTGTGAATAAGGTTTCCTTAGCTTTGACCTAAGCTTGTCCATAGACAGTGAAGCCTTCATTTCTAGGGTGGTAATGAGGTAGGCTCGCTGCTTTTTCTACATATTGCTATCAGTTGGGATGATATATTTTTCAGCTTCCTGCTAGTGGCAGAGTAAAGTAGCTTCTCCTCTTATGGGTTATTGTTTGCTGCATTCACTGTCTCTTCCCTAATCCACTGTTGTAGAATAGGAAAAGAGGACACAAGACCAATAATTCTTGGAAACAAATCTCTCTAGAAGATCTGAAAAATTCAACCCCACATTTTCTTATGAGATCCCTCATGGACCTTGCCACTTGGAGAGTTAGGTAGCAGATAGTCATTTCTGCCTTCATTTTCAAGGGCATTTTATGCCTCTGCATTTGGAGGGTGTTGTGGGGGGGGGGGGGGGGATGGTCTCTGTTTAAAATTACAAGATAAATTTAAATGCATTTAAAAATGAAACATTAGAATTTTGGTGTAAGTGAGATGTTCTTATTTTAAGGAGTGATTTCAGAAATGAGCTACAGTGAACATTATATGTACTCATAATAACAGATATACACTGTCCTGTGGGCCTGAGCGGGGAGAGAGGTTCTTCTTTCTCTGGAATAATCATGATCAATTTTTAGTTTGCTCAAGCAGAGGTTATTTGAAAAAAAACTGCTGTAGATAAAATTTCTTTTCATCAGAGGTCCCAGAATGGTACTTCTGAAAAATGAAACCATCTGTTTATCCACAAAGTTGATGTAGCACAGGCAGCAGCAGTTCAAATTTTCCTATCAACAGGCCTCAGTGTTTGTGAGGTAGCTTGGGCCTAACAAGGCTGTAAGATATTAAGTAGCAAATTTACTCAGTGTTGCTTGGTTCATTAAGGAGGGGCTCAGTACAGGGGACTGTGGGAGAGCAGGAGTCAGGATAGGGCTTGGCCCCTGCAGCTGGTTCAGGGAGGGTAGAGGGCCCACAGGTTGGCCCCAGCCTCCAACTGCCCCCCCCCTTCTGCAGCTGATCTAGGGGGGAGCCTCAGAGGATTGGCCCTGGCATCTTCCTTGCCCCCCCTGCAGCCTGTGGGGGGGGGGGGGGGAACTATAGGCTATCCCCGGGTGGCAGGGCTCCAGGGGCTGCCCCTGGCTTCCAGTGGGGCCCCCTTTAGGCTCTCCATGGGGGCAGGAAAAGGCTACAGGGGCTGTCCTCAGCCTCCAGCAGTCCACCTCACCATTTCTCCCTGCAGCCTGTCCAGAGCTTGGCCATACTTCCCGGAGTCCTTGTCACATCTGGCCAGTGTCTCACTGGTGCAGTTGCCCCCAGTGGTCAAGAATATCGCCTCCCTCTTCCTTTCCATGTTCTGGAAAAAGAGTCCTATTCCCGGTGCTTTCTGTTTTCCTAGCACAACCACACGCTGACCTTGCTTTCAGTCGGGATAAGAGGAAACTTCATACCAAATTTAGTGGCCCTAGCTCTTACTGTTTAGGAGGAGTTCTTGAACAAATGGACTCAGAGACACACAGATGGACTCAGAGACAGATGCATTCTTAAATAGATAGCTTGATTACAATAGTTAAGACTAAGATCAGTAAGAAACGCACAGAAAAGTTATAGCAGTATAAACTAAACCGAATTTAAACTGCAGTAGTTATATTGATACAACTTCCACTGTAGACACTCAGTGAGGAATAGGAGTGGCTTTTTTCCCATTTGGTTTAGGTTATGTTGTTTTGGAAGGTGGTGGTGATCTTTCAGTAACTTTCCAGGCTTTGAAGGGGTAAATAGGGAGAAAGATATTAAAAATCATTATCCAGAACTTAAATTTACCAATGACCTTATTTTACCTACCAGAGAGAGATTGAAAAGGAGAAGGGTGAGGCATCAATGGCAATAACTGCTCCTATGTTTAGGTGACTCTAGTCTGCAGAGCAGAGTGAAATTGACATTATTACTGTGGTTTCACTGTTGGCAAGGTTCTAAATAGCTGCAGTGAAACAGGCCATTTTATTGTCAGCATCAGTATGTTTCTGTTGTGAGCATCAGAAGAGGTAGTGAAACTTTTCAAATTCAGGAAGACCATTTTGCATTGACTTGGAACATTCCATCTGTCAAGTGAAATATCTTTGACTACAGTGGCGAAACATTTAGCTCTGTTAACCAAAAGTGTAAAATTTATAAAAAATCTATTGCTTTTGGCCCCTTTGCTAGCCAGCAGAGGAGAGGGGCTGCTACAGTCTTGCTGGTGTGGGAGTGCCCATCCTTCCCCCATCATGTGGCTCTGCCTGTTGTGGACTGGGGCTACTCTGGCCAGGCGGGGGTGCCTCTGCCCGCAGACCGCCCGCAGGACTCATGCAGCCCCATCTGTGGTGGGCGGAGGCTGCTCTAGAACTCAACACTTAACCAGTTAACTGTTCTCATTCTTAACACCCACCACAGAGGAAGACTTGCTGGTGATTTGGAGCTGTACCCTTTTTGGAGCCTCGTGATGTGTTTTTGAAAATACATCTCCACCGAAAAACCTCTCCTTAAAAATGACAAAGAATAGGCATAAATGTAAAACATGTTTTGTTTTGTTTTTTAAATTGAGAAATGCACACAGTTTTTTTGGTCTTAAATTTTATAAACATAAAACTCTTACAAAGTCAAACTTTTGTTTTGCTTCTCAGTGTTGCATATGTTTGGTCTCGCCAGTTTACAAAGCAAAAGCATTCTCCACAGCCCTGAATTTCTAATGTAAAACACAAAACTATCTGCTCTCGCTTTTCCTGGGAAAATGGTTAACTAAAGAGCTAGTAGGTTGCTCACATACCGTTGATAATGAAAAAGTGAAGTCTGAATGAGACTGGTTAAAGCTTTGTTTTTGTTAATGCCAGTTTAACAAGAACTCTAAAACATTATAGTGGGGAATAAAACTTTGATAACTTTCCCTTTTTCAAGAATTGTAAATTAGGCACGTCAATACTGCAAATGAAGCTGGGATTTGAATTTCCAGTGCTTCATTTGCATAATGGCGGCCACCGCTTTTTTCTGAACCAGGACTTTTGGGGAAAAAAACCTGACAGTTGAGACAGGAATCTTTCGAAAATAAAACCCTTTTTTGAAAGATCCTGTAAATCTCATTTTTTGAGGAGTTTCAAAATGGGGCATTTCTGTTGAAAATGCCCCATCTAAACTGCCATTTTTTTCGAAAAGCCCTGTTTCGAAAAAAGTGGTGGCCACCATTATGCAAATGAAGAATGGGATATTTAAATCCCCACTTCATTTGCAGTATCGATGTGTCTAATTAACATCCCTTTCTTGAAAAAAGGATGTAGTCTAGATATACCCTAATTGCCCTCTTCCTTGAGTTAGCAGCTGAGAGCTCACAAAGTGTATGTATATTTTTTTAAATATATCCATCGGGGAAGGGGGGACGAGTACTGGAAAGGAGTGCAGGTCACTCTTTAATCTCATCCTGTTGCTTGGCTTCTCTCTCCCATCTCATACTTTGTAGCAGTCATAATTACTGCACTTGACATGTGTCTCCAAAGCCAGTGTCCTTTGTGGTGGCAAAATTGTTCCTGATTTGGCCACTGGGGAGTGCTGACAAGAGGCATGCACATGTTTTCATCTATCCTTTAAAGGCTGATAACAGTGATTGTAGTGTTCTTGTAGTCAGAGGGCCTCAAGAGTAAGAGTTGAAGTGTCTCTTCCTTCTATTGTGTCTTCTCTTCCCTGAAGAAACTAAGTATATTTCCATTAATTCCTGGATTATAATGTTGGTTTAAGTTCTTTAGCAAATCTTAGAAAAAATTAACCTCTAATAGCTGTTTCAATATCTTTTACTTAGTATGCCATTGCAATGTACTAACTAAAATAGGAGACTGAGAACTATAGTTCTGAGTATTAGTAGTGGTGAAAGATATTTCTGGTTGTTCTAAGATGTATTAGAACACAATGTAATTTTTTATGCTTTTATAGAGTTCTCAAAGTTTTCTTTCAGCGTGAAATATTTTTGTGTTAGGATCATATTACTTTATTTCATTTGAGAGAGCATAACATTTGCCTTAAAAGGATTTATAGTTCATAATCTTTCATTTTCAAATTACAAAATTTCACTTGCTAAGCAGAGACTAATTTCTATATTTTGTAAGACACTTTAAAAACTTGAACAGTGTAGGCCTTCTGTATATTTAATGATAAGGTAGCATCATGTTCTTGTACATATTTACTGGTCTGACTATCAGAGAAAATAATTCAACAGTGTTATAAGAAGGTGTTTGCCAAGATCTGTATCATGCAATTACTGTAGCATAAGTGTCAGCAACTGCAGCTGAGAGAACATTATCTATTTAACTCTTTGATGCTGTAAATCTAATGTACAGTGCTTCAGATTAATACTTATTATACCATTAAATCTTGATCCCCCTCTATACTACATATATATTATGTTTTCTAAAATCTTTAATTTACTTTCTAAGTACTTACCTTCCCTGGGAACTTTATCATTACTTCAGACAGGTGTATGATACTAGCAGACTAGTCTGTTGGAGACAGAAAATGTTAAGAGTGATGTGGATGTATTTTGTTTAAAGTTTTTACACTTATTTAGGTAATATTTCAACAATTAAAACATTTGTTGCATAAACTCAGGTTAATACAAATTATTTTTTTGTTCTACAGTCCATGCAGTGACACTGTTTCTAAATATCTTTGGATGTTTGGCCTGGTTTTGTGTTGATCCCAGACGAGGGGTTGATTTTGGATTGAGTATCCTCTGGTTCTTGCTTTTTACTCCTTGTTCATTTGTCTGCTGGTACAGACCACTTTATGGAGCCTTCAGGTAATGCCAATCTGGTTTTGAATGTTTTTAACGCACATTATGCATTTTGAAATGTGTTCATCTTTAAGTAGAACTTTACTCGGCTTAGTTTGATATACTAACTAGAATTATTTTTTTATTAATTATTGGAAGAGGCAAGTTAAATTAACCCACTTGCTGCTTCCAGAGCATAAACTGATGACAAAAGACTACCTTTAGGAAGCTAATAATTAGGAACAACATTTTTTAAAATGTAGATAACTACTTCTAAACAAGTGATATTTGTAGGGAATGGATGACATATTGTGTTGTTTGGGCTTCAGTTATCAAGAAAATTCTTATCACGTTGGTCCTATCACATCTAAAATTGTACTCTGATTAATACAGCATTAAATCCTAATACAAAAAACAAGTGCTATAGCAAAAAATTGCAAATGGGTAAAGATTTTTATACTTTAATATATACGATGTTCTCTTGAGTGCTCAGTCTGTAGGACTCTTCATTATTTTTCTAAAAAGCAGTGAAGTGGCCAAAGGAAAAATATAAATTTTAAATATCCTTCATAACTCTCATACTTCGTTCCTCCCCTCCCCCATCTTGTATACATGAATTAAGGAGCAGTTACTATCATAGTTATTTTTAAATATTTTCAGTGGTCCCTTTTCAATCTGCATTTAAATACTTTGTTCTCAGCAAGTACACCTTGCTGGTCTGCACACAAACTTACATTAAAATAACTAAACTGATTTTATTTCACAGTTCATTTTGCATTTATTCTTTCTTTCTTGAGTGCTTACCCTATTCATTATCATAATGAAGCACTACATTTGTATCGACTTGAATTTTTTAAAAATTCTCTTTTTTCAATCCTATATTTCAATGATGAAGGCTGTTGCAATGCTTTATATATTGTCCTGTTAAGCAACAGCATAGCTTTCTATAGATGCTGTGTTCAAGGGATGATGAGTTTAATTAAAGCAAACTTAGCTACAGACTTGTATTGATTTAACAGTGAACCCATGATATGTATATAATCAGCTATAGAGAATAGGAAATGTTTGAGATCCTGTATGCATAGGGCTGAGAATCCCGAGGGCTTGAGACTGACTATCTTGTGAATAGAAAACCAGTATGCTTTGGAACTAGGGGCTAGGACTTCCTGCATATTAGCTGACTTGCCCACTCTCTCCAGTATGATGCTATGGAGGAGGGATCTAAGCTTAATTAGGAGGAAGACATGAAGACAAGGGTCAATAGTATCAGGCATCCCAGCTTTCTCCAAAATGTGTACACTATTCTGGGCTTCACAGCTACAGCTTTTCTTTCCTTTTCTTTGTTTATCACCCAGTGGGGTCAATAACAAACTTCTTTCATTTAGGTTTTGAAATTCTTGGTTCTGGACATGAGATCTTATTGGGAGCATCCAGTGATATATTACACATTCATCTCCACACTTACCCCTGCCTCAGCACAAATCTCAGGCACCTATTGTCCTGATAGCTATAATGTTGTTTTACTCTGAGTCCTGAAATTGCATATTAGTGTTCAGGATGATCCGACTCTCCATATCTGTATTTTAGATAAATTTGGACTTTAAACAGAAACCCTAACTGCAACTTTAATTTTGGAGTCATAGTTATTTCTCTACAATAACTCATTTTGGAAGCGTGCATACTTTTAAGCAAGGATATTTTTGTTTCAAGATTTACTGATAGGGCTAATACCGCATTACATATGAAGTCGTGTTGTGTTTATAATAATAACTTTAAAGATACTACCCTTCTGAGATGCATACTTTGTCTTAAGACCATGGAATACTTGTGATGGCATTGAGCCCCCATTTATTATTTAGAGCTGGTTTACACTAAAGTTAGGTTGGCTTAACTACATTGTTCAGGGCTGTAAAAAATTTCATGTCCTGTGCAATATAATTAAGCTAACCTAAGCCCACTGTACTGCTTTTCAAAGAGGTGGATTTACTGCAGTAGTGGAAGAACCTCTTCCGACACACTAACGCTACAGCAGCTCAGGTGCAGTTTTGCCTTTGTAGCATTTCTAATGTAGACATTAGTGTCTGTCTTTTTTCCTGCTTTAAGCAGGAGGTCTGTGTGTGGGCCAAGAATAGATACTGGTGTTTGCCTCATCTTTGCTGGTTAGAAGTTACACTTCTGCTGCTGAGATCCCCTGCTAATGCTTCTATATTTAGTCGTCTTTCTTCTCTGCCTTGGTCTCTGTGTAAGTGAATGTTTTGTTATGCAGTGTAAAGATGTCAGAAGAGATGACCGGGGTGGTCATGCATCTTTTTCTCTTTAACATGCTAGAAAAGAAGTAGGAAATGAGAGGTAAATAATATATTGGGGTGATGTTGACAGATGGCACACAACAGAACTCAAAAAGAATTAATGAAGGAATACAAATGATCAGGTGACTGGAAACATTGAGGGTAGATTAAAAGAGCAAAACATGTAGGATGTAAACATATTAAGAATGGAAAATTATTTATTGTGGTACATAAGGCACAGTTAAAATAATTGGGAAGGAAACTTTGAAAGGGAATATACTCGGATATGTGTATTTAGCTATGGAGTAGTTTCTGCAAGAAAGCAGTGGAAAACCCATTGCTTGTCCTTTTAAAACTAGACTGGAGAAAACTGTGACATTTATTATGATTAAGAATCCTTTTTTTGTTAAGGAGAGGGAATGAGTAACAGGTTTTTGTTTTCCCCATCTCTGTATTGTTTGGCAATATAAATTCTTCAAGATTACACAGCCTTTAGACAGTTCTGACACAAGAATGTCACCTATGCAGTCTTTCAGAACCAGATCTTTTTTGGTCCTGTTCTTGGTCCCCCTTTCCAGATATTAAGCATATAAACTGGTAGTATGAAGTGTATGAGAAATTTTTGCTGCTAAATGGTTCAAACTCTGTGGTTGGACAATTGCATTGCAGAAATAACACATTTGTGATTTTGTGTATATTGTGTCTGACTCCGTATCAGATGTCAGCTTCCAAATAAAAGGAATAGATATTTCTCCAACTAGCTCTGCAGATTTCAATCTGAGTTGAAAAGAGTTGTCTTTCTTTCCTTAAAATTACTTCTTAAGAGACGCCTAAGCAGCCCCACTGTGAGTTTCATAGGTATAACTGAAAGGAACTTGGAATGCAATTCTGTTGAAGATGCACAGGAAGGAATAGACTTCAGTTTTGCACCTCAGAGATTTGTTGGCTGTTCAGTAGTTACGGAGGCTAAATCAGTAATGATGTTTTTTGTCATTGTAAGCAGATAAAATATCAATCTAAGGGAAGGAGTATGCTCATGATAGCATGTACGGCACAGACCCTGCACACCTGCTAAGATTGGGTGTATGTATAGCAGTATAGATGATAATGCAGTGCCTTGGCAAGCAGAATATTGATGTGCCAGAAGCCTAGAGTATATACCAGACATGGTTCTCGATACACCAACAGGTCTCCCATATCTACACTGCTATTTTTAGTAGTGCAGTGGTCTGCTGCATTTCTGTTATGGAACATTTATCTTCTCTTTCCCCCCTGCCAGTGCCTATTACTGCCACATGTAGCTACTCAACACATTCTGGACTCAGCTTGCTTTTTACTGTGACATGTAGTTATGCATACCCAACACGCTGCCGCAAGCGTAAACAAGGCCAAAAGATTGAAGGTAGTCTTAAAGTTGAAGGCAATGTGGGTGAAGTGTTCATGATTTTAAGAAAAGGAAGGAGTGAGAGCAGCAGAATAAGGACAATGGATTTTTAAAATCAGACTTTTAAGGCATGCAGAAGACTGGTAGATAAGGTCGTATGGGAAGACGTCTTTGGGACATAGGAGTTCACGAGAGCTGGCAGTATCTAAAGCAGACAGTACAAAAGGCACAACTGCAAACTATGCCAATAGAGGAAGATTAGTAAGAGGCCATCCAATATGACTCTATCAGAAGCTTTTCAGTTACCAAAAAATTAAAACTTTTTATGGTCGTACAAAAAGTGGCAGCATTAATAAATTGCCAAGGATGAATAGAAAAGAGTAGAACAAGCGTAGAGGCACAAAATCAGAATGTGCTAAGGCACAATGACTTACAATTAGAAAGGAATATAAAAGGCAATAATAAAAGTTCTATAAATGTTTAGGTGACCTGATACTCAACACAACACACTATTAATAACCAGGAGAAAGAAATACAAACCAAAACAGGATAAGACCATTTACATAAATTATATGTATTCAAGTTGGCATGGCGTGGCGTGGTGAAATTCATCTTATAGTTTACTTAAGGTATTAGCTGAAGCTGAAGTGATCTCACTGCCAAATTCATTGAGGATGCATGAGGTCTCAGAGGACTTGAGAAGTACAAACGTAGTACTTGTTTTTAAAAGGGGTGCAAAGAAGACCTATGAACGAGTCAGCATGACTTTGATACCTGGAAAGATACCAGAGCAAATTGTTAAACAAGGTGAAAGCATCTAGAGGATGATAAGGTTATAAAGGAATAGCCAGCATGGATGTGTTGCAAATCATGCCAAATTAACTTCTTTTGTTTTTTTGAGAGGATTACTGACCTAGTGGGCCTGAAGCTATAACGGTGTGAAATGTCTTGATTTTTTTCAGTAAGGCCTTTGATAAGTTCCATATGGCATTCTCATAAGCAAACCATGGAAATGTGGTCTAGATCAGTGGTTTCCAAACTGTGTTGCAACCCAGCAAAGGGTTACTTTGCTATAGGGTGACCCAGTGACTAGTGGGCATGATATGGCAGACTTCCTGCCTATCTTGGCACTGTGGACCATGCTGTGCTTGGAAGTGGCCAGCAGCAGACTGGCTCCTAGATGGGGAGGCCATGAGGCCCTCAGCGCGCTGCCCCTACACTAAGCACTGGCTCCACACTCCCATTGGCCAATGGGAATTGGAGGGAGGGTCTGTACCTGTGTGCCTTTGCCTGGGAGCCATACCTGCTGCTGGCCAGGGCACAATGGGGGTCTGCAGTGCCAGGATAGGCAGGAAGTCTGCCATAGCGCCCCAACTGTGCCACTGATCAGGAGCTGCTGAAAGTAAGCCCATGCACACTATGACCACTAACCCCTCGCCCTGATACCCTCCTCCCCCAAACCAGAGCCCTCTCCTCTGTCCCTCATTCCTGGCTGCCCCCAAGTCTGCACTCAAGTAAAAAAAAAATTAATTTTTTTCAAGAAGAAAATTTTGAAAACCGCTGGTTTAGATGCATGAAATTACAAGGTGGATGCACAATTGCTTGAAAGATTTTACACAAAGACTAGTCAGCAGTGATTCTGTATATGTACATAGCGGGGTCCTAGGGCAGTCTGCCTTTGGTCTGGTACTAGTCAGTATTTTCGTTAATGATATGGAAAATGGAGTGGAGCATATGCTTATGAAGTTTGCTGATGACACCAAGCTGGGAAAGGTTGCTACTACTTTGTAGGATAGGATTAGAATTAAAAACTACCTTGATAAATTGGAGAATTGGTATGAAATCAACAAGATGAAATTCAATAAAGATAAGTGTAAGTAGTACTACTTTTAGAAGGAAAAATCAAATGCACACATCGATGGAGAATAACTAGCTAAGTAGTAGTACTACTGAAAAGGATCTGGGGGTTATGGTGAATCACAAATTAAGAGTCAAGAATGTGATGCAATTACAAACAGGGCTTTTACTCTAGGATGTATTAATGTGAGTGGTGAATGAATGTAAGACACATTAATTGTCCTCTTTACTTGGCACTAGCAAGGCTTTAGCGGGAGTACTCTAGCCTGTTCTAGACTACACATGTTAGGAAAGAATTGGACAAGCTGGAGAGGGTCAGGAGGAGAACAGCAAAATTGAGAAAAGGCTTAGAAACAGGCATGTTTTATGGAAGTTAAATTGTGTTTAATCATCTAATTGAGTAGTCAGTGGAATTGGCATCAACTGCTCAATTAGTCGATAAGAGGGGAAATGGCAGAGCCACAACAGGGTTAGCGGCCCCCCCTCCTGGAAGCTAACCTTGCTGTGGCTCCTGCCCCCTCCCCTTGCTGCCTCTATCCTTGCTGCTTCTGGTAGAGGCAGCAAGGGAGGTTGAAGCAACTAGTTGAGGAGTCACTTGACTAGTCGCTTACAGCCCTAGCATGTTTAGTTATTGAAAAGACTAAAGTTGTGTGTGTGGGGGGGGGGGGGGGGGGGGGGAGAGATCTTAAAATAAACTGTTATAAAAGGTTGTTCTCTGTGTGTCCACAGATGGCAGGACTAGAAGTAATCAGCATAAACTGTAGCAAAGAAGGTTTAGGTTGGATATTAGGAAAAACTAGCTATAAGGATAGTTAAGCACTGGAATAGCCTTCCAAAGGGAGTTGTAAAATCACTGTCATTGGAATATTTCAAGAACAGACGATCTTAAAATAAACTGTTATAAAAGGTTGTTCTCTGTGTGTCCACAGATGGCAGGACTAGAAGTAATCAGCATAAACTGTAGCAAAGAAGGTTTAGGTTGGATATTAGGAAAAACTAGCTATAAGGATAGTTAAGCACTGGAATAGCCTTCCAAAGGGAGTTGTAAAATCACTGTCATTGGAATATTTCAAGAACAGACTAGACAAATAGCTGTCAGGGATGGTTTAGAGCAGTGATTCCCAAACTTAGTATCATGACCCACTAGTGGGTCATAGGATGTGGAGTGCTGGGTCCACAGTTGGAGCTCCATAGGGTGCATGTGTGGAGGGGAGCTCCCTGGCAGCTGCGTGTGGGGCTTGGATTGGGGGGAGGGGGGCTCAAAGATATAATTATTGGGTTGCAGGCATAAATTATTTTTTTAAGTGGATCATGAGAAAAAAAGTTTGACAACCACTGCTTTAGAGTTACTTGGTCCTGCCTCAGTGCAGGGGGCTGGACTTGAGGACCTCTTGATGTCCAGCCCTTCCATTTCTATGATTCTGAATACAGAGAAGCAGATATGTTGAATTAAGATAACGTTTTTACATAATCACTTTACAGAGTAAAACCCCATGTAGATATAAAAAGTTATCATTTGGCGTTAAAGATGGTCTATAGAAAAAGTTACTTCAATACTGTATTTTAATATGCTTTTAACCTTATGACCAGCTTCTTTAATGTTTTCTCTTTTAGGAGTGACAGTTCTTTCAGATTCTTTGTGTTCTTCTTTGTGTATATCTGTCAATTTGCTGTACATGTACTCCAGGCTGCGGGATTTCAAGGATGGGGTAACTGGTGAGTGATTAGCTTCATTCAGTTTTGTGTAACTATCAAAGAATAAACTAGTGTTTTAAATTACAATAAAATAGTGTAAAAGACAGTAGATGTATGCAGAGCAGTTATTTATTAGGTAATGTTTTGATCTTATATTTTGGTGACGAGATGCCAGATAGCATTTTAGAATGTCCCTTATTGTGGGGAAAAAAAATCCAGCCCAAGGTCATTTGGATAGGTAGGTATTCCCAGTATTAGGGATGCCAGAGTGTTATCTTTTACCCTAAGCTCCTAACTGTCCCAGTTTCATAGCAGTTCTACTCAAATATTATATCAACTCTGTTTATGTATGTGATTTCCCCTTTATTGGGAATAAAACTAAGGCTCTGAAGTAATTGAGTCATGACAAACTGCATAAAGCCACCTCTTGCTTGTCTCTGGTGGACAGCTGGAATACATGGGAGTTAGACAGGGCTCAACCTGAGATCTTTCTACCTCAGCAGGATCCAGGATGTTAGTCTGACCCAGAATATGTTGAAACTAGTGTGAGTCAACTTGGATCAAGCTACAAATGCTGGCAGGGCATTGGTAGTATTCACAATAGCCATGCCAAGTCTGCATGTAAATCAACCTTTATGGACTGTGAGGTCCCCTCAGTGCTACAGTACTCTGGGTTTTGCTGGCCTGGAGGTAGTCCAGAGGCAATTTCCAATTAGGAGGATCCCCAGAAGTATCCAAAGTTCATATGCAAGTGGAAAAGATGTTTAGGTGAATGGCAGACATGACTCATTTGGTTGACATAATGAACCCTCTCTACATACATGCATATATTTTGAAAGTTTATTATGTTGAATATAAAATGAAATATCATGTAGAGCTGTCAAGTTCTTCTTCGGGGGTCCCTGTGGGTGCTCCACTTAGGTGTGTCAGTGCCGCTGTGCACGCAGTCTGGAGATCTTTGTTAGTAGTCCCCTGGCCGCTGGCGCATGCTACGCTATTGCGCAATCTCCCAGATTCACAGACATGCGCTGGCGACCATTCCATCAGTTACTTCTTAACTGCCACTGGCATCGGTCGCACTTAGTTTCCCTAACAGCATCAAGAGGAAAAAAGGGGTGGGAGGAAGGAAAAGGATAACAACAGAAAGAAAAGCGAATGAAGCAGCATGTGGGCGCTTCGCCTGAAAGAGAGCACAAACGGGGAAAAAAACCTGTCATGCCTGCACCACTGGGCTTTAAAAGGTGCACAGGGTATGGAACAGCAATTGCAGCAGCAGACAGATATGAGGAGTATCTTCCCTGCCCAGGGCAAGACCATCCTATCAGTCACTGCCTGCACTGTCAAAAGCTCACTCCACACTCTAAGAAGGCTAGAGACCTACAAAGAAGACTATTATTTTTGGACCACAACATGGCTGAGTGTCAGCCTCATTCCCCCTCCCTTGGGGAGGAGGGCAGGAGGAGCGCACCCTTGCGGGGATGTGCTAGAGAGCAGTACCCAGAGCTGAGTACAAAACGCTCCTGGTCCCCTGCTGAGCCTCAGCCTCTAACAAAAAGACAAAGGAGGCTGATAAACACCACTAGGCAAGACTCTCAAAAGTGGGACAGAGGATCCAGCTTAAAGAAAAACCATGACCTTAATATGAAGCATGGAGCTGCTGGCCGTGCTTCAAGCTCTCCACATAGTAACATGGCACCAGTGAAAAACATGGTACCGCTGAGGAGCAAGAAAGCTGGTAAGTTGCAAAGCAGTGGGGAATGCTGCGCCTGAACAAATGCTCGGTATCAGCGCACTTCAAAGCACCAAAGGTACAGACGCAGGCAACTATAGGGAACTACACAGCATTGCCTACACATACTCCGGAATCGAGGTTCATAACAGAGGCGGACCTCGCAGTAGCATCAGTACCATGCTCACCACTTTTCAGCATGCCTACACGTTCCCTGTGTCCCTCGACACCAGCATCACAAACATCCACCACGTTTAGTGACAACGAGGAGGAACAGTCAAAGGGCTATCACAGAATCCCTCTGTATGTGGAACCACAAAAACGGCAAATACAGAAATGGCAAATGGCACAGTGGATGCCCCCACTGATGTCTTCACGGTGAGCCTACTTGGGACCCTTGGACACCTTACCGAACCCAACAGCTTCACACCAAGCAACACACTATGCAGATCCCTGGGGCACCCCAAGACTTGTTTAGGAGGGTAGCAGACACACTTGCTATCAAAACTCTGACGTAATACAGAACAAACATGAACTCATGAGCATGCTTAGCTTACCTCAACATACCAGGCTGGCTTTACCGATGAACGAAGCCTTGATGGATCCCGCCAAGTCTACCTGGAAAACTTGGGCATCGGTGCCTCCAACATGGAAAAAAACTAGATAAATACTATGTTGCCCCCACATAGGTTGAATTCCTCTTTTCACCCTTCTCCTAATTCATTAGTGGTTGAAGCAGCCAATCAGAGGGGGAAGCAACAACAGTACCCCAGAACACCAAGTCACAATAAAGAGACACAAAGACTGGATGTGATGGGGAAGATAGCCTACTCATTAGCCTCCCTCCAGCTGAGAATTGCCATCTATGTGGCTTTACTAGCAAAATACTCACACAACATTCAATTCCTTTTTTCAGTATAGACCAGAGGATGTGAGGGAACAGTTTGAATCAAATATCAGAGAAGGCTCATTGACTTCTCGAACAACTCTACAGGCAGCATTAGATGCAGTGGACATAGTGGCCAGATTGAAGGCATCTGCAGTAGTGATGTGACGGATGTCATGGCTGCAGCTGTCCGGGAGGTTCAATCGAACATCGAGGATCTCCTATTTAAGGGTGATAAGCTTTTTGCAGAGGCAACAAACTCAGTGCTCCACACGCCACAGAACTCTAGGGTGACACTCTGCACCCTAGGAATTCAGCCGCCTGGAGCCTGTAGAAAACAATACAAAGAATATAACCAAAGGTTCAGAGTGCCACGGAATACACAACAGCAAGGCCCATGGGGAACTAGAGGAGCATGAGACAAACTCGACAAAGACAGTCAAGTGAGCAGTCATCAACCCAAGCGTCCGCCTCACGTCAGCAAATTTGAAGATTTGGTTGAGGGTACAAAAGCCCCTGATTCTCCAGGGCGGGTACAACCAAGCAAACAAATATTCGGAAACAGACTTGCCGCATTCTGCCTGGCATGGAAAACCATCACCTCGGACCAATGGGTCCTAGAAATAATACAAACCAGATACTGCATACCATTCACAGCAGTTCCACTAACCCACTCCTCTCCCTCTTCAGGGACCCCTCTCACAAGTTGGTCCTCCTGGAAGAAGTGCAGCACCTCCTAAAACTAGGCGCTATAGAGGAGGTACCCAGCTGCTACAGAGGAAAGGGATTTTATTCCCGATACTTTCTAACTGTCAAGAAATTGGGAGAGTGGAAGCCTATCTTAGACCTCTGTGGACTCAACCAGTTCATCAAGTATCAACAGTTCAAGGTGATCATGCTGGCAAAGATCATACCTGCCTTCGAGAAAGGAGCATGACTAGCTATATATGACCTCAAGGACATATATTTTCATGTATCAGTTCACCCAGTGCATAGACGATTTCTCAAGTTCACCATTAAGGACTTACACTATCAGAACAGGGTGCTCCCCTTCAGGCTGTCCATAGCACTCAGAGTCTTTTCCAAAGTCATGTCCATGGTAGCCACACATCTGCAAAGAAAAAAACATATTTCTGTATCTCGACGATTGTTTGATCATGGTGTCCTTATCTGGCACAGAGCAGTCACTGGAGTCCACAAGAGCGTTATTCAACACACTCGGGCTCCTACTGAATTTGGAAAAGTGCACCCTCACTCCTACCCAGACCCTAGAGTTTATAGGGGCACAGTTGGACCGCACTCAAGGTATAGCCTCATTGCCAACCCACAGATGGTCAAGAATGTACTATTTGATCGTGTCCATACATAGTTGTGCACACACGGAACGTACATGACTGCAAATACTAGGACACATGGCAGCGTCCATGTCTGTAGTCCTGAACGTCCGACTACATATGTGGCTATTCCAGTAACGGCTATACTCTGTATATCGTCCCAGGCACCATCTGCTCCACCAGACAATCCACATGACCAGGCAGTTCAAAAACACCCTCAATTGGTGGACAGACATAAACAACATCTGCATAGGACTTCCATTCTAGATGTCGACACCGTTCATCACTATCACGACAGACACGTCCCTGCTGGGATGGGGAGCCCACATGGGGAGTATGATATTACAGGGACGATGAACATATGAAGAGTCCCGACTTCACATCAGTGTGTTGGAACTTAGAGCAGTGAGGAGGGCATGCTCTCAACTGCTCAAACACATATACAAGACAAAACCGTAAGAATAATGTCGGATAGTGCCTCAATGACATAGTATTTAAACAGGCAAGGGGGAGCGAGAACTCGCTGCCTTATGTGCAGAAGCAATGAAACTATGGTGATGGTGTATTTATACACAGCGTCACACCTATCGCGATACATTTCCCAGGCAAGGACAGTGTACTAGCAAATGCCCTCAGCAGACAATTCCTACAGAACCATGAATGAGAAATCAACAAATCCATCATAAACAACCTTTTCAGGAGATGGGGATACCTGGTTGTAGACTTGTTTGCAACGTACATCAATTCCAAGTGTCCCCGGTATTGTTCCAGGACGGGCATTGGACCGCAATCTCTCAATGATGTTTTTGCAATACACTGGTATTTCCCACTGGCGTGTGCATTTATTTCCACCTATACTTCTCATACATCAAAAGGTAATTATAGGACGCAGCAAGAGTCATACTTGTAGCCCCCAATTGGCCGAGACAAATTTGGTGCCCTACCATATTTCAACTCAACATACATCAGCTGTACAAGTTTCCCCCGGTACAAGCTCTCTTGACTCAAGGGAAGGGGCGTGTTTAACACCCCAGGCTACACTAAACCTGCGAGCCTGGATGCTCATTGGCTC